TTTTTGAGACAGGGTTTCCCTGTAGCCCCAGCTGTCCTGGAACTTGTTATGTAGACCAGGTTGGCCTCAATCTCAACAGAGACCTGTCAAACTCTGCCTCTGTGCTGGGATTAAAGGTGTATATGGGAGGGTACCCACCCTCAGTGACTTCCCCTAAAGACTTCCACCCACACCCTGTCCCTGGGCAGCCTGAGAGACCCAAGCAGCGCCATACAGTCACAGGTCAGTGGGTGGATAAGTCAGTCCTGCCTGATGCCAAGTGTATCCACTGGCTGCCACTGCTGGTCATTCTGCAGCAGTGACCCCCCCCAGATCCGGAGCTAGGACAGTCATTCAGAAAGAAGTGACAGCAAGGACAGCTGCTAAGTCCTGTCTGTCAGCAGGACTGGGCATTTCCCCTTGATCCTGGGATACAAGGTTAGGCCCGCCTGTCCCTAAGGCAGCTCCAACTCCCAGGCATATCTATAGAGGAAGACTAGTGAGGGTGGAAAAATGGGGAACGAGGGGGTCGGGGGAGCCACTACTGAAAAAGCAGAGGCCTCCAGAGCCAGGGCACAATCTGTCTTGGTGTATGTGTGTATATGGGGATGGGTGAACACAGAAGGGCCTGAAGAGGGTGTCCAGTGTCCTGATCTATATCATTCTCCACCTTACACCTTTGAGACAGGGTCTCTCACTGAACCTAGACTGGTGGTCCTCCTGTCTCTGCCCCTGACAGCACAGGGGTTCCAGGCGCACTCAGGTCCTCGTGTCTGCACAACAGGAGTCTTACCCACTGAAGCATGTCCATAGGCCCATTACTCACGAATTTCAAGAAGACATTCCCCAATTCATGCTGGGACTGAGGCTCCGGGTGTAGGCAGTACTCCAGGGCAGCCAAAAAATCCTTGTGGACCTCCAAGATGTCCTCGATGTTCGAGAAGAGGATCTGGGAAGATTGAAAGGCCCCGTCAGTCAGAGCTCAGGGAGTGCACAGCCACTCCCAGAATAATCCACAACCCAAGAGGGGAGAGCAAGCAGTGATGGATGTGTGGGTGACAGGAGGTGAGCGGGCAGCAGGGGGCAGTGAGGGGGCAGTGGAGGACAAGCAGTGGCAGTGGGTGAGCAGGCAACAATGGAGTGGGCAAGACTGGGGGAGTGGGGGAGGGGTGAGCGAGCGGGCAGCTATGTGTGAGCAGACGGCGAAGGGTGAGTAGGCAGTGCAGGGTGATCTCCACTCATATGTGGTTGACCCCCATCCCACCACCACCAGCCACCCAGATCAGTGGCACGCCTGGGCTGGAGCACAGTGCTCACTGGGAGTCCCCAGTGGCCACTACGTGCACAGAGGACATTCCTGGCCTCGATTTATCTATGAAGACCAGAGGTTCAGAGAGAAAAGGAGTTAATGTCCCAGCCAGCCAGCTTGGAGGCACAAGAGCAGCACATTCAGGGTGCTGACACTTGCCACACCTGGAGGCTGCGGACATGTCCAACCACACGACAGTGAGCCAACAAGCCCACTCACACATGCCACTCCCACGATGGTGCATGGTGAGATGGGGAAGGGCTAGGGCTAGAGCCCACTCTTGTTACTGCAAGGCCTGGAGGGGCCAGAGGCCCTCTTCCTCCTCAGCCACACTGGGGGACACTCATCACGTGAAGTGACCTATTGCAATATCGTCCATTCCTTAAGTGTTTACCCAAAAGAAGAGAGAAATACCCACTCAAAAGACTCCTACAAACATGGTTAGAAAAGCCCCAAAGTGGAAATAACCCAAACATCCGTTCAAAGGAGAACAAACTGTGACACAGTCACACTGTGGAATGTTAGAGAGCAATGAAAAAGCACAAGCCAGCACTAAACATAGCAACACAAACAAATCCCTCTGGTGAATGAAAAAGTGGAGACACAAAAAAGTTCATTGTAGGGCCAGGCCTGACAGCACACGCCTTTAATCCCAGCACTCAGGAAGCAGAGGCAGGAGGATCTCTGTTGAGATCGAGGCCAGGTCTACATAGAGAGTTCCAGGTCAGTTGTGATTCTAGGGAGACTCTATCTCAAAAAGACCAAAAAAAAAGAGAAGCTTATTGTCCTGAAGCTCAAGCAGAGGTGGGAGCGGAAGCAATTGGTCAACAGCAGAGCAACCACCTCAGTGTCAGCTGGGGAGGGCTGACTAGGAGGCACACAGTGAGTCTGCTGAGGACAGGAACACCCTGTCTTCACTCAGGGACCCAGGTGTGGTCATCCTGAGCGCTTAGGACTTGAATCCCTTGGTATGTGGAGTTAGACCTCACAAAAAGGCCATTTCTTTAAAAGTAACAAGTTGCAATTGCAAATGTTAATAACAGCTCGGAAGCGCTAACAGTGTGCACTAAATCAATACAATAAAATGGAGGTGCTGAGCAAATGTTTGCTGAGTGAGTGATGAAGTGCTTTGGTCCCAGCACAGAGACATGCCCTCACCATCCCCACCATCCCATCTCCCAGGGCCAGCCTTGCACTGGCTGTCCCCCAGCAGGGCAAGAGCGGCTTAGAATTATCAACATGCACAGTGACTGTTCTCAAGAACCAGGGGGGTCGGGGCAGGGCGCCTCTGACCACATGTGCAGCAAACGCTGGGCTCTTCAGATGTGCGTGTCTCCTCTGGGTCCCCTTGGACCAGGCCCTTCAGAGCCCAGAGCCTGAAAAGCAGGTTCATGGACAGCGAGGTCAGGGAGCTGGCCAGTGTGGGCCTCAGAGGCACACAGACAGCCCATTGATATGGTCCAGACTTCCCAGCGCCATGGCCAAAGGGAAGCTGGCCCGATGACTCAAGGGATTGCCTTGATGCTCCATGCCCACTGTAGGGGTGGGTGAGGGGGGCAGCAAGAGGTGCCAGGCCCCCAGGACACTTGGGAAGGAATTTTCCAAGGGCACCAAGCCAAAGGGCTGGACAGGAGGAGGCGAGAAGGGAGGGTGGCCATGCTGAGTCTGAACTGGGGAATGAGGTCTGGGCACACAATCCTGCCTAGGACAGAGGCCTCCAGGGCTACAGGGAGTAGGCAAGCAACGCCAGCAGGTAACAGGCTCTGAACATCACACGAAAGGAGCAGGGCTTGCAGCAGCAACAGCTGGGTACCCACCTTGACGTTCTCCTCCGTAAGACCCTTCTCCACAGAGTCTGCCACATTCTGTCGGATCCGCTGCAGGAACGCCTGCGAGGATAAGTGGCAGAGATAAGTGGCCTTGTCTTCCACCCCAACGACCCTGACAGGGAGTGTGGGTTCAGATGCAGACCTGGACCTGGGAGGTCCAGGTACACAAAGGAGCAAGGAGAAACTCACACTACCCGTAGGTTAATTTGCTGAGCTACTCCTCACAGCTATTCAGCTGAAGGTTTGTTGAGCACTTACTATGCCCAGGCCTGTGCAAACCTAACACTCCCCAGGAACCTATATGTAGACCAAAGAGACACACTCGCGCCTGCTTCCTCACCCCATACCTTGTGGACCGCAGCTCATATCCCCCTTTTAATTTTCCTTTTTTATGCTTTAAGACATTTACATGACTTAAAAGAAAAATATAAAATGTCAAAAACACTAAACAGCTCTCCTTCACCCCAGCCCCACCCACAGAAGCCTTCCCATTCCCCATGGGAACCTTGGCTCCTGAGGTCACAGATGGTCACGTACATAAATACGCATCCATGTGCACACACATCTACTCTCATGTCTCTTCTCTTCACACGCTGGAGCAATACCACACACACGGGATACTCCACACCGACATCAGGCCGCAGGGCACTCATCCCATCTTCCACCGCCCCCACCTCCTCCTGGAAGCATCCTTGGTTGGGTACCAATGGCACAAATGGGACGGCATGCAGCCCCACCACACTCTGCAGGGGTTGATCACAGAGCGGTCACCTCCTTCCTCTGAGACTTAAGATCATGAAGCAAAAGGACGAAGAGTGGAGGCTATCAGCACAAATCCACCTGAGAGGGCCATTGCACACCCTGCACGGGGCAGGGGTGGGGGGACAGGCAGGTGGGAAGAGAGCCATCCAGTGTCACCAGATGTGATGGTGTCTTTTTGACAGGGGAGTGTAGGGAACAGAAGCAGGCCCTTCACCACAACTGCATCTCCAGCCCCCACCTCCCTTTATTTTTAAATAGAAACCAGAAATTAGTTTTTAAGTGTCTCATGATTCATTTTCTCCTTTATTTCTCCCCTCCTTTCCTCCACAGGGACAGGCTGAGGATCGAGTGGATGTGGGGGAAAGAGAAAGACTTAAGCCACTGCCCAAGGGAAACTGAGGCCAGCCTCCCACTGATCCCCCTGCCTGGCTCACCCTGGCTCAGGATGTGGGACCTGGCCCAGGTTAACCTGGCAGTGATCAGGGAGAGACCATTGGAGAAAGGAATCCATGGACTTGTCACAGTCCCTGGGCTACAGTGAGCTGCTGGGACCTGTCAGCTCCCATCTGCCACATCTGGGTACTGCCAGGGCCCAGGGCAGGGTGGGGGCCAAGTGAGCATGTGGCCTCCTGCCTCTGGTTAATCGGGAGTATGTCCCATTCCAGCACACTTGTCCAGTGAGATTGCAGCATGCTGGGGAGATGGCAGGGACGGCACTGACGTCAGAGGAAGCAGCAGCAGGTGGCAGCTATCAGATCCTTTCCTGTCACCCAGGGTGACACCCATGACAGCCTCACAAGCCAGGCCTCTACACAACCTGGGGCCTGCCTGGATAGGTTGGCATTTGAATATGGGTCACACAGGCAGAAGGCAACAATCTCCATCCACGAGCGGCACAGGGAGACTTTAGATGCCTTGCAAGTCTTCAGGCCCACCTGGCTCCCTCAGAGTACAGCCACAGCCACCGGGGAAAACTGTGCCCAACCTGGACCTCCCCAGTCCTAATCGGAGCCCACACAGCCCTGCCCTGCTGCCTCCAGGGCTCAGGCCTCCTAGCCACTGTGAAATACACTGATAGACCAATCAACCCTCGGCGTCCATCTCCCTCCGCTTTGTAGCTGCAGACACAATGTGAGCAGCTGCCTTCAGCGCCTGCTGCCATGCCATCCCGGCCCTGATGAACTGCACCCTCGAGTTCGAACCAAGATAAACCCTTCAATCCTGAGTTGTTTTGTCTGGTGTTTTGTCTCTGCAACAAGAAAAGCTCCTAATACACCATCTATCTTTTTAAAATTCCAGATCCTTCCCTGGTGCTCCACCCACCCTTACACATCCCTAGTCACATCTTCAGTCACACTGTCGGGCCTTTTCCTGCACCAGGACCTTTGTATGTGTCTTTCCTGCTGGCATGTTTCCCCTCCATTTCTGCCTTGAGTAGGTGTGAGTTAATCCACCAGGCTTTAAGAAACCCCCTGCTTCAAAGCAGTCACCACCTCTCTACCCTGGATCATGACTGAGGCCAAACAAGCTAAACCAGCTTTCCAGGCCCAGGTAGGAAGGGAATGGAGCTAGGCTATCTTAACCCTACAGAGGTCAGATTTGGAAACCAGTGGTTTGGGTTTAAACGACGGATCTTCCTTTAACCTGCTGTGTGATCTCGGGAAAGTAAACCAGCTTTACTGAATGTTAGTTTCCAAATGTGGGGATCAGAGCAATATTCTACCTACCTTTGAAATCTGATGGGGTAAACTGACAGATGGTCAGGAATGCAGGGACCTCCCATCTTTACTCATAGTTGGACTCCTGGGGGACTAAAGAGATGGCTTAGCAGTTAAAGTACTGGCTGCTCTTGCAGTGGACCTAGGTTCGATTCCCAGTACCCATATGGCGGCTAACAACCATCCATAACTCCAGTTTCAAGGGATCTAATGCCCACTTCTGACCTCTGCAGGCATTGCACACACATGGAATACTTAAATACATGTAGGCAAAACACTCATACACATAAAAATAAATTAAAAATTTAAAAATAAGAGTAGTGTCTGGTACACAGTAGGCGCTCAGAAATCAACAGAAGGTATATGGAAAGGGCCTAACCAGGATGGGAGCCTAACCCAGGCCTTCAAAGTCAGCTGCGCTTGTGAGAAGGACCGGGAGGCAGAGGTTCCTAAAGGATGTGACAGTTGGGCCTGGGGTGCCATGGGAAGTCAGTCTCTAGACACCCAGACAGGCAGACAAAGGCAACCTCACCCAACACAGGCGCCTGGGCAGGCAGGCAGGAAGCAAGTGCCTCGGCTGGCCTAGATGGGGCTTCCTGTCCTGGTTTCTTCACAGGAGCTCGGCTACTGCTATTGTGCAGGGACAACAAGGGGAGGCTCGGGCCACCCACCAAGGCCCTGCAAACAAGCCAGCACGACAAGCACTGGGCACTGAGAGCAGCTCGTGACCCAGAAAGAATGAGCCAGCGGGGGCTCTGTGCCCAGCCACTCAGACCCAGCACAACCGCCTTGTGGATGGGCACCAGCATCCTCTGCAGGTGGGGGTGCTGAGGGGCCCTCTAGGTGATGCTGTGCAAGGCCTGGTGGGGTGGAGCACTCAGCCAACTGCAGCTCACATCTGAGGAACTTCCATGAGGCAAGACACCAGCCTGAGACACACCCCACCCCCCCGGGACCTGCCCAGTCCCCTCATCTCACCAACACTGATAATGATGATGATTCTGAAATGCATCAAGTATGCAAATAAAAGGCAGGCTTGTTACTACACAGCTTGGGAAAACCTTAACACCAGGCCAGAGTTCCTGAAGGAGAGACCAATGGGCTAGGCTGCACAGGCATGTGCAGCAACGTGGGCACTGTGAGAGCACCATATCCTGAGATGCAGACACAGGTGACTGAGGATACCAGGCTCCTCGGAGATGAGCTCATGTTGGCCACATGGCCGTGTGGACATCAACTCCAGTACAAAGTAAGGAAGGCTGCAGAGGCAAGCCACCCATGAGGTGCTGAGAGACGCCTGCCACCCCTGCCACGTGGACACCATGCTCCTCATTCCCCCACAGGCCTCTGCCCTGACCTGGCTCATATGTGCCTATAAGCAAAGCCAGCACAACACCTCTGGGCCCAAAGGCCTCCTGGCTATACACAGCTGCCCGAGAACAGGCCTCAGCCACACCTGGCAGGAGCAGGCCCACAAACAGAGGAGGAACCTGAACCTTGAACTGGGTGTCAGGAGGTAGTTGAGTAGGAACTTGCTGCCAGCCCACAGTCTACTTCCCTCCTTCATGCACCAGTACTAGACATTACTAATCAATACACCTATTTTCATGCTCCATTCTAGTTCTGAGGACTTTGAAGACTGGTGGGTCAGCAGTCCTGCTTCCCAGAGCCTCTACCCTCTGCTTCTATTGATCCGAAGTCAGGCACAACGCTGCTGTGACCCCCAAGCAAGATGCATCTCCCCACATGATATAAAGCTTGCTGCTAGCCCACATTCTACTTCCTTCCTTCATGCACCAGTACTAGACATCACTAATGTGCCTATTTTCATGCTCCACTCTAGCCTGCCAGGCATCCCGCTCTGCTGCACACGGCTGCCTCTCACCACACTCCTATGAGGCTTTCTGTGGTGACTATTCCCAGCTAAAGCACTTGCTCTGAATCAGTTGGATGTGCATCTTGAAACACCAAGCTGCCCCCTGCCTTGTTCAGTTGTGAATGTGAGTGATGTCAAGCCACCAAGAGTGCACGGGTGTCAAGTCCCCTGCTACCAGCAAGGCCTCAATGACCAGGCGTGTAGCTGCTTCTGCCTGGCTCAGTGGGAGGCCCCAGGGCACCAAAACTGTCTCTGCCTGAACAGCACCCAGCCCATGGTAGGGCCTGAGGAAATCCCAAGTATGGAAGAAACAGGGAAGGAGGTGAGGTATGAGGAAGGGAGGCTGGGCCAGGTAGCGGCAGAAGTTAGCAGTTCCTATCACTGACCACCACACCCTGTGCCTCTCCTAGGACTCTGCTCCTTTTTGGCTTATGTTCTCCTTTTCTTTTGTTTTGAGAGCAGGTGTTATGTCACTCTGTCACAGAAGTTGACCTCAAACTCCTGAACTCAAGTGATCTTCCTACCTCAGCCTCCTGAGTAACCGTACCATGACACTTGGCCACACTCTGCCCTTTGCAGCTCTAGACATGAAGCACTCTCTTATGTGCCCATTTTATAGCACAGGGAATTGAGGCCCCAACTGTGAAGTGCCCACTGAGAGCCACACAGCTAGGAAGTAGTTGTCTGGTCTGGTGGCGAGACCC